GAGGCTCCTACTCGAATATCGATCAGTAGACGTTGTCGTGGAGAATGTGCCTACGAGGAATTGAAGAGACTTGTCTTTTCACAAGCATGTGAGGGGTCAGTTTTGAGAACGTCAACGTGAAGACCAAGGTCACGAAACTGGAAAGATCCTCGGCGGCGGGGCCAGACGAGACTGAGGAGGAAAAATCTCTGAAGACCCGGCGAGAAATGATCGACAAAATATATATCCTCGAGCAGAACGCCCTTGGAGTTGTCGAGTTTGGATTCTCTGCATCTGTGGAGCAGAGAAGGCCTTAAATCCCGACGTCCAGCTAGTTACCGAAGGAACGAACGTTCTGCACCAGGTGGTCGACGGGAAGGTGGTTTCTCCAAAGATTCCTGCTGATTATTATTTGTTACTTAGTGTATTTTAGCCTGCGTGCCAGTTTTTTGTAATTTTGATTGTCGGGCTCTGCCTGACATTATTGTAATATCTAAACACTTTCCGGCCATGTAGTCGGACCTATTTATTGATGTTTATTTGACATTGTATGCCTTGTGTTAGTTTTTCTTGCGGGTTGTTTGTTAAATTAGAATTTGCTCGACTAGTTGCGTTGCTCGATATTTTATGGAACTTGTCGAGGTGGCGGAGTAATCTCTCCGGTTATGGGACTAGGATCTCAGTTGAGGTCCTGATCGCACAGGGCTTAGACTTTCCCATCACGATCTGGGTGTCCTGCCTCGCTGGTACGTCAACGATGGAACTCGATTGAGTTATCCCCGTTGGGCACATAATTTTCTCTTTCCTTGAGTGAAAACTTGCCTTCATTATGTTTGAGGATTGTGCTTGCACCAGGGCACGCTCCTTTGGCCGAACGATCCCCCCTTCGCTGGGGAGTGGAGTCGTTGGCAGTTAGTTCTAATTGCATTAGCGCTAGCTGTAATATTGTTTGAACTTTTCACCATTCCAGGGTCGAACAAATGGTTCTCCATTTAGGTGTTCGAGGTAATAGGCTTTGGTACCTGTTTTCGATCTCACCCGATAAGGGCCTTCCCAATTTGCGGCCAACTTGCCCTCATGCGAATCTTTTTGATTTCGGCGCAGGACAAGGTTGCTCACTTAGAAATCGCGCTTTATGACCTTGGAGTCGTGGCGCAACATTATTTTTTTGTTTCAGCAAAGCTTCGTGGAGAGCTGCCCTTGATTGGATCTTTTCAACCAGGTCGAGTTTTTCTTTTAATGCTTCGTCGTTCATTTCCTCGTCGAGGGGGGCCTCTGTTTGCCTCGAGGATTCTCTGATTTCTACTAGGATTACTGCCTCGGTTCCATACGCTAGTCAGAAGGAAGTTTCCCCGGTGGTGGAATGTGGAGTTGTTATGTATGCCCATAACACATTGTGGAGCTCCTCGACCCACCTCTTTTTAGCCTCGCCCAACCTTCGTTTTATTCCATGGAGGATCACCTTGTTCGCGGATTCTGCCTGCCCGTTGGTCTAGGGGTGTCCGACATACGTGAATTGTTGCTTGGTGCCTAGTTTGGCAACAAAATCCTGAAATTTCCTGTCCGTGAACTGTGTCCCATTGTTGGTCACGAGATCCTGGGGTACACCAAATCGTACAAGGACATTTCTTTTATAAAATCGAAGTATGTTAAATGTCGTGATTTTGGCGAGGGCCTCAACTTCGATCCATTTTGTGAAGTAGTCGACGACCATGATCAGAAACTTATTCTGATAGGATCCCGCGGTGAAGGGTCCGAGTATGTCCATCCTCTATCAGGTGAAAGGCCACAGGTAGGACATAGTCTTTACTTCGTTGGGGGGTGCTAAGTGCATGTCCCTATGGCATTGACATCTATCGCATTTCTTGACATGCTCCTTTGCGTCATGCTGCATGGTTGGCCAATAGTATCCTGCTCGAAGGGCTTTTCGCGCCAATGATCTTCCTCTTAAGTGTTGTGCGTTGATTCCGTTGTGAACTTCTTGGAGAATGTCTAGGACCTTGTTCTCCTCGACGCATTTTAGTAGGGGAATGGAGAATCCTCGCCGGTAAAGCTTACCTTTGACTAAGACGTAGGAGCAGGCCCTTCGTTTAATTACGTTGGCCTCTTTATTATTTTTGGGAAGATTCCCCATGGTGAGATAGTCATGTACCGGGGTCATCCAACAATTGTTGTCGCTGATGGTGTTGACGTCGAGCAATCCTGTTGGTTTCGTGATACTTGGACGGGGGAATGTCTCTTGTATGACAGACTTGTTTCCATCTTTCCTCTTAGTGCTAGCTAACTTTGATAGGATGTCTGCCCGAGTGTTTCTTTCACGAGGGATGTGCTGGACTTCACACACTTCGAACTTGGCTATCCTTTCTTGCACTAGCGTTAGGTACTCGACGAGGTGATCGTTTTTGGCCTGGTACTCCTCCCGTACCTGGGAGTCTGTGAAATTTTTTATTTCATTCAGCCAGTTGCAAGCCTGCGAGGAATGCTTCATATTCGGCTTGATCATTCGAGGTCAGGAAGGACAAGATGAACGATACTTTGATCAGGATCCTTTCTTATTTCTCAAGGATGATGCTTGCCCTGCTGCCCGTGGAAATGGAAGCTTTGTCGACAAAAATTGTCCACCTGTACGCCCCGTTGAAAGGGGATGTCGGAGGCGTCATTTCTGCCACCAAATTGACAAGGACATGTACTTTAAGGGCTTTTCTGCTTTTGTAGTGGATATCGAATTCTGACAGTTTCAAAGACCATTTGAGCATCCTACCGACCATATTTGGCCAACCGAGTAGTTGCCTAATAGGGTGGTCTGTCCGAACTACTATCGTGTGGGCCCGGAAGTAATGTCTTAATCTTCTCGCAACATTGATAAGGGACAGGGCGACCTTCTCAATTTGTTGGTATATGAGTTCTGGTCCTTGCAGGGCTTTTATTGTGAAGTATGTTGGCTTCTATCCGTCGAGGGTTTCTCGAATAAGGGCAGTGCTGATGGCATCATTAGTGAAAAAGAGATAAAGATAAAGTGTTTCCCCGCCGTCTGGTCATGAAAAAATAAGTGGTTCGGACAAGGCTTGGTTGAGGTGGCACAGAGCTTACTTGCATTCCTCTGTCCATTCGAACATTACCTTTTTTTGGAGGAACTTGAAGAAGGGCAGGGTGTACTGGGCAGATTTGGCCACGAAGCGAGATAGCAAGGTGAGCATCCCGTTGAGGGATTGTATGGATTTCTTTGACTTGGGTGTGGGGAATTTAGAAAACGCTCGACATTTGTCGGGGTTGGCCTCGATCCCTCTCTCAGTGAGGTAGAATCCAAGGAACTTTCCCGCCCATACGCCAAAGGTGCATTTTTCTGGGTCGAATCACATTTTACATTCCATAGCTTGGTCGAAGACCTTTTGCAGGTGAATCATGTGATTGGCTTCCTCTTGGGACTTCACAGTCATGTCGTCCATGTATACTTCGAGCATGTATCCAATTTGTGATCGGAAGACTTCGTTCATTATTTGTTGGTACGTGGCCCCAAAGTTTTTCAAGTCGAAGGGCATTACGTTGTAGTAACAGTTGCCCGACGCGGTCATGAAAGTGGTTTACCTCTTGTCCTTCTCCGCTATGGGAATCTGGTTATATCCCGAGTAGGCGTCCATGAAGGACAAAATTTGAAATCGGCAGAGTTATTGACTAACTTATCAATGCTAGGAAAAGGATAAACGTCCTTCGGACAAGCCCGATTGAGATCGGTGTAATCAATACACATTCTCCACTTTCTATTATGTTTTTTGATTAAAAAACATTCTAATAGAGTTTAATTATTTTTAAGTTTAGAAATTATTGGATTGAAAGATAAAAACACACATGATTTTGTTCAATTTAAATAATTCAATAAAAAAATCTGATGATATTGTATTCAATTTAATATGGGTCAATTTATTATAATCAATAATTTTAAAAGAGTCTATTAAATATTAATAATAGAAAGATATGTGAAAATAATAGATTTAATTAGAAAATTTATATAATATAATATAAAATTAACATTATTGAACAACAACAATAATTTATTTTGAAATATTTTTAATAATAATAGAAGATTAAAACAATCTAATGAAAATTAACAAAAAAAAAAAATTAACAAGTAACTTATTAATAAAATATATCATACAAATAAAAAATAATATTAAAATATAATAGAAAAGATATGGTGCAATTATTGTGTAAATTATTTTTACATTGTCAATCAATGACAATTATGTATTCTGCCAAATTAACCTGTAAAATTTTAGTTACTTATATGATTTAGAATTGTAAAAAAATTTATTGTATGTATGTATAATATTTTTTACACCAACTGTGCATTATTATTAAACTCAAAATATAAATGTATAGTCTAGTTTAACTTTTTATAAAAGATTTAAAATTTTAATTAAATTTAAACCAAGTTCATAAAAAATATGCATCAACGTTTAAGTTTTTAAAATCAATTTATTGTTTTATTTAAATCTAAATATAACTTAACACCTAAATTGAAACTATTTAATAAAACTATTTATATGTCCGTTCTACCAACATTTAGCTTTTTAGGCAAATAACTTTAGAATTATAACTCAATTGATTTGATTTATTATTTTCTTCTTCTCAAATAATAATTAAAAAATTAATTAGAAAAAACCCAAATAATATCATATTCATAAAATATTAATCTTGATTCATTATTTCTCTATTTTGAATAATAAATGTTTTTTAAAATCATATCAAATCAAATTTAATAAATATTCAATCTCTTAAAGATTTTCACAAAATAAAATATTTGGATAAAAATAACTAAAAAATGTGAGTATAAAATATCCCTTACCACAATATAAGTTGATACCAAAAGTTCCTTTCTTTTTTCAAGTTAGTATAGTTTTCCTTTCTTTACTACTATCACTTTTTTATCTTTTATTTTCTTTCGCGCTAATGGTTTAGAGTCTTTTCTTTATTTGTTTTTCTCTATAATTTTGATTTTGCAGATTTTGCAGAAATAGAAAGAGATGGATAACCTTGAAAATCATCATTGTAATAGGGCTTTTGGAATGACAAATGAACAAATAGAAATTCTTCGAAAACAAATCGCAGTTTATGCATACATCTCTGAACTCCTCATTCAAAGACATAATAACTTTTCTTCTTGCCAACACTTCACTAGTGGTAAGTTTGAGCGTCTCTACTATTGCTAAAATTAGATTATAATTAATATTTAATTAAGATAATTAAATTTGTATGTTGTTTTGATGATTAGGGGCTAGGATGAAATTGATTTATGATCCATTATTGATAAACAAAATAAGTTTGAAGCAGCGTTGGAAACCAACAAATTCACAGATTCAAGCCCTGGAGCAAATATATGCAGCTGATCAGCGGACTCCAAACAAGGAAAGGATAAAGAAGATAACAGTTGATTTAAGTAAATTCGGGCCGATTTCAGAGTTCAATGTATATATTTGGTTTCAAAATAGGCGTGCTAGGTTAAAGAAAAAGAAGAATAATGTTGATGTTAAATCAAAAGTAGAGATCAAGGTTAATTCTAAAGATAAGAAGATCGAACAAAACAAGTCTGTTGCGTCTTCGTCTGACAAAAATTTAGGCCACCAAAACTCTCAAGTGAATTCTGACTTTTCACCATACTTAAATCCTGAGTTAGAAGATCTTTTTGCGATTCTCTAAAATTTTTGATCATGTGTCTCATTTAAATGATTTGGATTTATATTACTATTTACATATTACCCATTAAACATGTTGTTACATAAACAACAAAAACTAAATCCACAGCTTTTCGTATTTTGTTGTTGTGTGGGACAATTTATTATCGAATGACTGAACCTTTTATTTCGTATTTTCTAATTTATAAAAGATAATACATATATGTTTTTATTATTTCTTGTTTATATACCATTTTAGTATTTTCTAATTTGTAAAAGATAATACATATATTATTTCTTGGTTATATAGCATTTTAATCTCTCATGGAAATATATTATCGGGCCAATTTCTTGTCTAAAAAACTAGTTAAGAATAAACTAATTTTAAAAAAAAATTATGAGTATACTTTTTTTATTTTTATAATCAGAGTATATATATTAAAAGAAATACTAGAAGTATTTCAAACCAAAAGATCAATACATATCACCGGCTATCCCGACCAAAAAAATAACTCTAGAAGTTACAGAAACGCTTTAAAAAATATCGATTAATTACATATAATTTTATCGACCATATCTCTAATCACTAATACTACTTAGTTATTATTGTAATAATTGTATTAAAGTATGAGTTATTAATATGTACACTTTTTATCTAATTCAAAAATAGTATATTTGTATACTAGAAATTAAAAAGAATACCTAGTAAAAGATGTAGTATGTTAACCTACTATAATAGCTAAAAATAAAGTTGAATAAACCTAATTGTACTTTTCTTTGTTGGTGTAGAGTTTGGATTGATGTTGATATAAAAAATTATTAGACAGTAAGATAAAAATATGCATGGTATGATTCAATTTAGATTTTTTAATAAAAAATCTGTTAATCTAATGACATTTAATATGATTTAATATTTTTAAGTTTAGACCAATCAAAAATATAATTAAAAAAATATAATCATTAATAATAGAAATTGTCAAATACAAAATTTGATACAATTTTTTTTCATATAATGTACTAAAATTTAAGATTATAAAATAATAATGGGTAACTATTTTTATAAAAAATAACTCAATTAGTTTCAAATCTTTTAATAATAAAAAAAACTTAAATAAACTAATAGTTGCAATTAAATAGTTTAAAACAAACAAGTAAAATATTAATAAAATATATCATATCATGATAAATATAGTATTAAGTGTCCTTAAAACTTAAGAAATAAATATAATAAAAATTTATTGAAAATTGTGTATTGAATTTAATATAAATTTATAATTAATAATTTTATTCTTTTTTTCCAATATAAATTTTAGTTCAACTTTTGGAAATTAAAATTTTAATCAAATTTAAACCAATTTCATAAAAAATAAGTACCGATGTTTAAATTTTTTCAATCAAAATCTAGAACCTAGAACAAAATCTTGATATTTTTAAAACTTGTTTCATAGATATTTTATTTTTTATAATAATAATTGTCTTTTAATATATTTTATTGTTATTTAGATATAATTTAAAATATTTATTATATTATATTTATTATCTTACATTTAATGTAAAATGTGTTTTAAATATATTTTCTAATAAATTAAATTTATACATACGGGGCAGCAATTAGAATACCACGACTCATATTTAATTTATTCTAGGTTATTAACTAGGTTTAAACATTTGTTATCATGAGAATTTTATAATTTTCTAAATATATAAACTATAATTAAATTTAAAAAAATTCTATAGAATTTGACTTATTTTTAAGTTTAGAAATTATTGAATTGAAAGATAAAAACACGCATGATTTGATTCAATTTAAATATAACTCAATGATATTGTATACAATTTAATACGGGTATATTAAAATTGAAAATTTTGAAGGAGTTTATTAAATATTAATAATAAAAAGATAACAATAGATTCAATTAAAAAATTTATATAATATAATATATAATTGACATTATTAAACAACAACAACAGCAATCATTTATTTTGAAATATTTTTAATGATAATAGAAGATTAAAGTAAACTAATAAAAATCAGTAAAAAAATATTAACAATTAACTTATAATAAAATATGTTATACATATAAAAAATAGTATTGAAGTATAAATTTATTGTTTAGTTCAACTTTTCTAAAAAGATTTAAAATTCTAATTAAATTTAAACCAAGTTGGTAAAAAATAAGTATTAATGTTTAAGTTTTTAAAATCAATTTATTGTTTTAATTTGGATCTAAGTATAACTTAACACCAAAATTTAAACTCTTTAATAAAACTATTTATATCTCAATTCTACAAACATTTAACTTTTTATGCAAATGACTTTTGATTATAATTCCATTGATTTTATTTATTATTTGCTTCTTTTTAAAAAATAATAAAAAAATAAAATAAAAAACCCAAATAATATCATATTCATAAAATATTTACTCTTGATTCATTATTTCTCTATTTCAAATAATAAATGTTTTTTTTTTAAATAATATCAAATCAAATTCAATAAATATTCAATCTCTCAAAGATTTTCAGGCATAAAAAAAATGAAAAATAGCTAATAATGTAGGTCTTTTTTTATTTGTATTTTTTTTTAATGATTTTGCAGATTTTGCCAAAATAGAAAGAGATTGATAATCTTGAAAATCGTCATTGTAATAGGGTTTTTGAAATGACATATGAAGAAATTGAAATTTTCTGATAACAAATCGCACTTTATACATACATTTCTAAATTACTCGTTCAAAATCATAATAATATCTCTTCTCACCAACATTTCACTAGTGGTAAGTTTGAGTGTCTTTACTATTGTTAAATTTAGATTATAATTAATATTTAATTAAGATAACTAAATTTATATTTTGTTTTGATGATTAGGGACTAGGATGAAATTGATTTATGATCCATTATTGATAAAAAAAATAAGTTTGAAGCAACGTTGGAAACCAACAAATTCAAATATTCAAACTCTGGAGCAAATATATGCAGCTGATCTGGGAACTCCAAACAAGGAAAGGATAAAGAAGATAACATTTGATTTAAGTAAGTTCGGGCCGATTTCAGAGTTCAGTGTATATATTTGGTTTCAAAATAGGCGTGCTAGGTCAAAGAAAAAGAAGAATAATATTGATGCTAAATCAAAAGTAGACATCAAGGTTAATTTTAAAGATAAGAAGATCGAACAAAACAAGTCTATTGTTTCTTTGTCTGACAAAAATTTGGACCACCAAAACTCTCAAATGAGTTCTGACTTTTTACCATACTTGAATCCTGAATTAGATGATCTTTTTGCAATTCTCTAAAAATTTTAATCATGTGTTTGATTTAGATAAATTGGATTTATATTACTATTTACATATTACCCATTAAGCATGTTCTTACATAAACAACAAAAAGTTAAATCCACAACTTTTTGTATTTTTTTTTTTTGCTGTGTAGGACAATTTCTTATCGAATGACTCAACCTTTTATTTTGTATTTTCTAATTTGTAAAAGATAATACATATATGCTTTTATTATTTCTTGTTTATATACCATTTTAATCTTTTATGGACATATATTTTCTGGCCAATTTCTTGTACAAGAAAACTAGTTAAGAGGAAACTGAAAAAAAAAACATGAGTATACTTTTCTTTATAAGTAGAGGATATAAATTAAAGGGAATTTTAGATATATTTCAAAGTCAAAAGGTCAATACATACTGGCTATGTCGACCAAAGTATGGGTTATTAATATGTACACTTTTTATCTAATTCAAAAATAATATATTTGTATACAACAAATTAAAAAGATATCTAGTAAAAACGTAGTATGTTAACCTACTATAATAGCAAAAAATATCAGGTGAGAACTGATAAGTTATATGAGAATGTGAGAATGAATAAGAAACATCAGATTTAAAAAGAAAAAATTGAGATTAAATCGTGATTTTTACTTAATCATGTATCATTAAGAAAAAAGAGAAATCATTAATCAAATTTTAAAAATATATTTTAATCTCAACCTATCCTTTTTAAAATCTGATAGTTCTTATTCATTCTCACAAGATATTCCCCATATATATATATATATATATATATATATATATATATATATATATATATATATATATATATATATATATATATATATATATATATATATATATATATATATATATATATATATATATATATATATATATATATATATATATATATATATATATATATATATATATATATGTGTGTGTGTGTGTGTGTGTGTGTGTGTGTGTGTGTGTGTGTGTGTGTGTGTGTGTGTGTGTGTGTGTGTGTGTGTGTGTGTGTGTGTGTGTGTGTGTGTGTGTGTGTGTGTGTGTGTGTGTGTGTGTGTGTGTGTGTGTGTGTGTGTGTGTGTGTGTGTGTGTGTGTGTGTGTGTGTGTGTGTGTGTGTGTGTGTGTGTGTGTGTGTGTGTGTGTGTGTGTGTGTGTGTGTGTGTGTGTGTGTGTGTGTGTGTGTGTGTGTGTGTGTGTGTGTGTGTGTGTGTGTGTGTGTGTGTGTGTGTGTGTGTGTGTGTGTGTGTGTGTGTGTGTGTGTGTGTGTGTGTGTGTGTGTGTGTGTGTGTGTGTGTGTGTGTGTGTGTGTGTGTGTGTGTGTGTGTGTGTGTGTGTGTGTGTGTGTGTGTGTGTGTGTGTTCTGGCCTGGGCCCAGGTCTGACCACGCGGGCCCAACCCAATAGTGTTCCACCTGGTCCAGTCCAGTCCGGGCACGAGGCCCCCGACAAGCAAGAAAGGCCTCCCTGCGAGGAAGGCCCGTCCCAATCACGTCGGGCAGGAGACTCCCCTGCTCGGCCAAACACCGCCCTCCGCAGGCACGACCTGCCCCTGCGGGCACCACCCGTTCTCCTGTCGGGCAGGACGACATGTCCTTCACACGTTCCCCACGTGCTCCCTTCTGCGGGGACACATTATCCACCTACTGCCCACCTCCGAAAGAGCAGGTCAAACCCACTTTCCGGAGATCATGGGACAGTTGGACTAGGGCGAAGACCACGTTCTGGTCTTCACTACGCCACGT